GGGCTTTCGTTTTCATCCAGGTGGCTATCTCGGCTGTTGAGGCCACGTACGTAACGAGGTTCTTTGCCTCGTTATGGAACAAACCCGTTTTTGGAGGAACATTCAGTGATTTTGCCGACGCCCACCCGTTTTCATAGATGCGCACTAGCTTTTGTTTGACACTAACAGGTAAGGACGTTGTGTCATCCCCAAAAAAGACCGTCACTGCATGCTCCTTCAACCATTGGACCTGGATTTTATAAATATCAGGGTTAATTGTAACTTTCACGAATCATCTCCGGTTTCCACTTGGTTCGGGGCCAGTTCTTTGGGCAAAATCCCGTTGATATAACACTTGTTCAAAGTCTCTCTAATCCTGAGAGTGTCTGCCGTCGTGAGCAGAGGTGACGGCGCCGGTGGGGAAGAAGGGTGAGAGGAAGGGAGAGGGGGGGAGGAGGATTGACCTCCCTGACCACTTCCCTGGGCTTCCATCTTTTCTTCTTACCACCCACTTACACACTTTCACTATCGACCTAACACACCTTAATCTACTATGAGATAAATACTACCATGCACGAGGACAGGGAAGCGTCTGTCAATTGGGGCAGTCCAGAAATCCCCTTAACCCCAAAACGAGTTACGGTGTGTGATGAGCGATAATACCTTCCTCATGAGAACGCTGCTGCAAAACAGGGGAAATCACCTTTCGTAACTTCCTCCCTTCCTTCTAWTTTTTCCCCGCCGTTACGCCTCCACTTGCCAGTTTTTGCAGATTGCTGCATGGCGCCCGGGGCCTGGAACCTGGTTACCGGCATTCTCCCTGGGCGGCAACTGATCTACTATGTTGTAGGTCAACGGCTGTGCTTCTTTGTGACTCGAGCTCCTCGCACTGTTCGCAACTCGTGAGTTCTCGTTCTTCGAAGAACCGAACGCCCTTCTGAATCAGGAACGGGCCACAGATTACTTATTCTCCGGACCGTCTTCATAGGTTGTCCTCCTATCCCTGCCAGAAAACACTGACAGCCATCCTTCCCTTGGAAAGGCCGCGGAAGACAATTGGTCACCTGGGCACCTTCTGTCTGATGCACGTACGCTTCGCTGCGGTACGGGATGCCAACGGGATCCTCTACGTCGACTTCCCCTCGAGACGTACAAAACTTCACCTCCATTTCCTCTGGATCTAGCCCAGAGAGCCGCCTACTTACAGGGAAACCTTAAAATTACCGAGGACGAAGCATTTCCCCATCTCTCCCGTCGCACAGGGTTCTGCCGGACCGGTTTCCCCTGAAGCCCTACCGTCGCCGCCGCACCGCTCCGCTAACGCACCCACCAGCACGGACCCCTGTTATTCCCCTCGCCTCGCCTCGCCTCGCCTGCTACCTGCAACTACAGTTCTGCACGGGATGGGCTGAAGACAGGCGTCTTCACTGTGGGAGGTCCGTGGTTGGGGATGGGACTGGCCGGAAGTGCCTCTCCCAGCCTGGTTTGGCTACGGAATTCATGTGAGGGACGCCGGGCCTGTTTCCCGGTTTTATAATAAATGATTTTCTTTGGTGAAAAAAAAAAAAAAAAAAAAAAACCGGCAGCAGGTTTTTTTTTTTTTTTTTTTTTTTTTTTTTTTACACCGGCAGCGGTCTGGATGGCCATGTGGTGGAGCATTCAGGAGCGTGGTGCAGCATTTGGGTGAGTGGTGGAGGAACGCTCCCATCATGCGCTCCCATCACGGCGAGCCTTCTTCGTGCGAGTACTCAGGGCAAATGCACCATGGTCAGCACTCACCACGGGAATCTCCATCTGGCGGGTGGAGGAGCGTGGGCAGTAGGGCAAAGCAGCACCACTGGCCAGACGCCAACATTCTTAATGCATCTGGAACCGGGGTTCGTCCAGATGCATTCACAATGTTAGCAGATGGCAAGTGGTGAACCTATGACCAGGGGCCTCGACCCACTAGCCAAGCGTAAAACGGTGTGTGGCATGCGAAATGTGTTTAAATAATAGGAAATAAAGGTTTTCCTGCATTTTATTTTCGCCCGTTGATAAGGAGCTGGCAATAACGACTGACATCCGTCATGACATCCGTCATTATTACACGGTATCCATTTCATTCCAATACATGTGACACCCCGACACTGCGCCCTAAGGCTTGTGATGATAGGGAAAGTAGGGAGGTGGGTTGGCCAAGAGGTACTCATGTCTGTTTCTGCACCTAGACACTTTTGTAGGCAACGTACAACCATGTTTTCGGAATGTGGACGCGTATAAGGGTTTGTGCATCCGATTGAAAGGAATGCACTGACACCACATTTCTCACCCTTATTTGTGGGCACTGCACAAAACGACGCCGTTATTACTTCAATTCGTCATTTTTTTCAGACTTTCCAAGCGAAAATCCGTTGGCGCGAAGCTTGGATATCACCCCATGGGTAAAAAATTGTTGTTATTGAAGCTTCGCGCCAACGGAAAGTGGCCAACAAAAACACCAAAAAAAAAAAAAAAAAACTTTCTATTGGCCGTCAGACGGGAAAAACGGCTCGCCCTACTTGTAAACATGGTCACAGTTGATGTGGAGGGCAATCGGCGGCTGTTTTGCGTCACCCCGGGCCACACGGTGATCGAAAGCCCAGCCTCCAAGCGTAACGCTTGGCTAGTGGGTAAAGGCCCCAGGGAGCAACAATCAACAGAGTTTAAATTATTTGGAAGCAAAAACGAAAGGAATTTGCAATTTGCCCCCCAAAGAGGAGATGTATGCCAAAATGCCCCAAAAGGAGTGGGAAGGGCCGAATGCCCCGAATGCCCATTTGGCCCAAATCTTTGTGATATGCCCCTGCCGGGCAAGTGCGGAAATTTGCGTTCTGGACCTCCTCCCATACAGCTGGGCCTGCACGCGTTCTTACGCAGTTTGCCCCCTTATGGGGTGGCCGGGGTGGGAAACATGGGCAAATACCCAGGGTCATAGACACTGTAACATGGCAGAATGGGACACCCCATTTCAATATTATTAAGCCAACAAATCACGGTGTGTGTGTGTG